GAGAGAGGCGGAGCGTCGACTCTCGGAATCGGTCTGCTGCTGGAGTTGGAGGCGACGAGACCGGCATGGCCAGCGTGGCCAGCATGACTCGGCCGGCACAACTTGCTAACGCGGCGCAGCAACTTAGGCGACGTGTACCAGTGGCGTGGCACGGCGTGGCACGGCGTGGAGCACCGAAGGAGTTTCGGCGGGTGGCACCCTCAGACCGCACCTCAGACCCACAGAGCCATATTTGTCACATTTTCCTTCGTAGTTTCGCACTGTTTCGCACTTGCAAACTTGGAGGAGGCAGCCCGACGAGGAAATCGTTCTCCGACCGTCGCGAGAGTTTCGAGTGGCCGTGACCCCGCGGGGTCCATTATAATTGCGCTTGGTGCTGGCGGTGTCTCGGTCTGCGCTCGCGTATGGTTCGAGTCCTGTTGAGCGACTCGGGAGCTCAAAACGCGTCCAGTTTTGGCCGGCTGCGCCAGTCTTCTGGCCCACTGTGCGCTGCGCCCAGTGAAGGGCGCCTGCGAACGGCAGGGTAGGCCAGCCCGCAGCGCAGCCGCGTGGCGCGGCACGGCCCGCCCTCCGTCTGGCAGGCGCTTCCCCATTACCATTGCGGCCTCCTTGACCTCCAGAGGCTGCCATCACTGTCAAACCAGTGTGGACAGCTCCTCACTTCCTGCTGCGGAGCGATTCTCCACTTGGACGTGTGGAGTTTGCAGTGACCACACTGCAAGTCTGGAGTAGCTCACATAGGCCCAATCATTTCGCATGGTGCAAACGCGGACAGCTCCACACCTCAAGTGTGGGAACTGCAATGTCTGCACTTCCAAGTGTGGAGGCTGCAAAATCCACATCTCCGCGTTCCGAGTGTGGAGTTCTCCTCACTTGGTTTCACAGTGATTTCGGATCCACTACTGCACATCGTGACAGAACGTCCGCACAACGGAGCAGGGCTTGCGTCGGCGACCCCGGGGCACCGTACCACACCCAATTCTCAGTGGAAGAGTCTTTTGAACCGTGAAACGCGCCGCCAACTATAACCAAGCCCACCCCCTTGCTTCACCCCGCTCTCACAGGGCATCTTCGGCGCCCACAGTGCAGCTGTTGGAACTCACTGGCCGCCAGTATTGCGTTGTTTCCAAACTTTCTTTGAGTTGGCTTGGAGCCGCGCTATTGCACGGAGGAAAACAATGAGCACGGTGCCGTGCCGATTCACAGACCGATTCATCCTGCAACGGGAAACTAACTCCCCGTTCCCCTGCCCCAGTGTGCCAGAGACCCGGTTGAGGCGGCCAAAGACACGTTTTGCGTTCCAGAAGCAGGACGTGAACCGAGCGGGAGACTCCGATGGGTTCCTTGTTCGGAGAGCAATCAAAATTCTGAGCATACAATTTTGAGCATGCATAAGCTTACAAACAAAATACTTCCTAATTTAAGAACTATCTCTTCGTATAACAAAGTAAATTAGTTTGTACTATGTATGCTCAAAATACTTCGCTAGGTTTTTAGCGCGCAAGTGTGGAGTTCTCCACTCTCGGTTTCACAGTGGTGGCACGTGGCATGGCACGGTCCGTCCGGGCTCGGCACTGCACCGCGCAAAAAGCTGCAGTGCGTGGCCTGGGGCGTGCCCCACCGCGCCCCGCGTGGCTTAGCCCGTGTGTGCCCCGCCTCGGCCGCGTCGCCGCGTCGCTGTGGCCGGAGATTAGGAGCCACGCCAAATAATACGCCGGGGTTCATCACGACAAAGTGATTGGCCCGAGCACTACTCCGGTGCGGCCTGGCTGTTCCGCCCTCAGGGGCCAGGCCCTCGGCCAGGCCTGGCTCAGCCTGCAGGCTCATTCCGAGAGTCGCCCTGTCTCTCTCGCCCCCGTATGGGACGGCCCACGAGTGCGAGAGAGACAGGGCGACGACTCTCGCCAGCAGCCCGCCGGTGCGGCGCGGCCCTCTGGGCACCTGGCAGCAGCCGAGGCAGCGGGGACGTGAGCCAACACTTACGGCCCGATCAACAAACGGCGCTAAATTGAAACGCCGTCCCATCGACGTCCAGAAAGGGGATGGCCTTTAGGGTATTGGCGGAGGGGCCTCGTCCAAGGACACTGTGCACTGCGAGGCGCACTAGGGGGACAGCAGGGCCAGCAAGGCCAGCAGGGCGCCCCAGCGCGCCGACTCAAACCCAAAGCCACTCACAGGACATCCTTGTTGCTGCAGCACAGCGGATGGTTGCTACTTTGCCTTGCAGCACACGGTAAAAACGGAACCTGGTTTTCCCAGGAAGCAAGCCAGTGGTGAAGGCATAGGCGATTTCCAGGAAGTTCCTGGGAAAACTCTCAGAACCTAGTGAACTATTTAAGGCCTCCCCAAGAAAGCAACCTTATCTTAAGAAAGAACCGTACTTTGAGCATACATGCGCCTACAAAGAAAATGCCTCGTGATTTAAGAACTTTTTCTTAGTCTATCATACTTAAAAGTTTATGCCTCACATATGCTCACAATACTAAGGTTTTAAGCGTGAGGAACAGAGTGCAGCGACGATGCTCATACCTTTTTTTGGAGGAGGGAGGTTACTGCCCAGCGATCACCACGATATAAAAACAATTTTTCTGTTCTGGTGCTTTGAAGTCTCTGCCTTCGTTGTTGTGGTGTGTTTTGCGCCCCCACGGCGCTGCCCGGCGCGCTTATCACCGTGCCCATCCGTCAGCCTGTTTGCTTGTCCGCGTTATTGCAGGGCGGTGCTGATAGCCAGCGGTGCAGAAGCTGCTATTGACAAGGCCCGCCACACCGCTAGGCACACCGCCACGGCGCGCCAGGGGGCTACACGTGTCTGATTAGCGACCCACGCAGTTAGGTGCAGTCCGGAGGTGTCACATTCGTGTGTGTGTGGGGGGGGGGCACAAGGTGCAGCACTGTAAGAAATAAATTGGGAATTTCCAAAGGTACCTCTGTCAAAAAAAAAAAACAATGTTGCCGAAGGAACCTACGTAAAATTCACGGAGATTCTTCGTGCGAATTTCCGAAAAATGTTCGTTGATTTCCAAAAAATATCTGAAATGACACGCTAAATAAATGCCTGGGATGCCCCAGGCGGCCACTGAAAAAATATTCACCCTTTTCAGGGTGGACCTTGAAATCCCAGTCAACTGCTTTGGCACTAGATGGGATTTTTTCGGCATTTTTTTTTTTGCACAGGTACCTCCGCGCGCGAGTTTCCGAGATTTCATTTGTACAGTGAACGCCCGGAGTTTTTGAGTGTATGTGTTTTTTTGACGCCTTTTAGTATGCAGGCCGCCCTCTCCCATTACCCCTCCCCCGCCAGTGCCGCTTCTCTCCTTCCCGGACACGAGGTCTGGGTTCTTTGTGATGCCTTTCGTTTTTCAGTAGTTGCACTCAGTGTAAGGGCCCCCTCCGTCCGCCCTCGAGAAATGTGTGTCAGTGGCAGACGAAAACAGAATGCAAGTAAAAAGCGGCGGACTGCGCTTAGACATGTTGTTGCATGAATCTCTCTTTTCACCACAGTCACAAAAAAAACCGTTCTTATCGCAGTTTTGTAGACTGGTAACTCCTCGAAAGCTTTAGGATTTACGTATTCCTCTGGATCCGCACCGAAAAGTCAAAAACAACCTCGATCTTGCCACAGATCGGCGGTGCTGCTTGCCTCAAGCAAACCTTCAGATATTTTGTAACATGAGACGCAAATTATCCAACCGCTTCGCCCGACTTGTGAAAGAAAACAATGAGTGAATATTTCATCTTGCCGAGCAGAGCGAGCGCGCCCTGCTCGTGGAACCGAAGTGACACTGATGCTCCCCGCCGAGGGCGCTTCAAGTTGACCGCGGGTGAATGCAAGTGCCGAGCAGCCGCTTTCATTCCGACCAGAACGACCTTGCCGTCTGTTTTCCTTTTCGTCTTCTCCTCCAAGACAATAGAAGGTCGAGCCACAGGGAACGGAGGGCCTCCAGCAAGTAAAATGATACATCATGACGATGCGCACTTCGCCCACTTCGTCGCAGCGCTGCAGACTCATTCCGAGAGTCTGTCTCTCTCGCACTCATGGGGCGTCCCGCATAGGTGCGAGAGAGACAGAGCCACCGAAACGACTTTCGGAATCAGTCTGCTGGGTCTTTTTTATTCCGACCTGTCAGGTCTGAATGTCCCGTCGGCCTTGCCATACCGCAGTGGGCCAGAAGGCCGGTGTAGGAGGCCAAACTCTATAGACGCGTTTTGAAACTCCAGAGACGCTAAACAGGACTCGAACTGAGCGTTAGGCCCCACCAATGGATTCCTCGTTCGGAGAGCAATTCATTGGTCCGATCACACATTCAGTTCTAGTCCTGTTTAGCGACTCTGCAGCTCAAAACGCGTCTAGACTTTTGACCGCATCCACCGGTCTTCTGGCCCACTGTGCTCCCTCCTACCGCCGATGACCAGCACAGCATTTCTGTGCAGAAAGGGAAAAAAAGTGTCAACGAGGATGGCACTGGAGGGAAATTCAGCGACGCGTGTCGCGTGTTGTCAGTTGCGCCGCGCTGTGCGGCGATGAAGCCCTGGAGGAATCAGCCTCGCTTGCCTCGGCTTTAATGAAACTCTGTCACCTTCCCTCACAAAGAGCGTTCCCTTTGCGGAACAACAACGGGGGTGGCCTCGTCAGGCCTCTCGCCAGAGCGGGGGTTCGATATCCATGAAACGCTTTTGTTTAAAACCAACATCGGTAGAGCTAAAGCTTACTTACATCGGTAGAGCTAAAGCTTACTTTGACGCGTATCTTCGAGCGGACTCTGTCAAACGAAGTGTGGAGAGCTCCTCCCACACTTCCTGGCATGTGGCAATTCTCCACACTTGGACGTGTTGGGGTTCGCAGTCTCCACACTGCAAGGGTGCAGACTGCAAACTCTGCACTTCCAAGTGCGAAGACCGCGGCGGGGACTGAGAAAACTCGACAGCTCAGCTCCGCAAGCCTTGGCGTTGTCTGCACTTGTTTCCACAGTGTGGTTGATCGCGCCGTGCTTTGCTTGCAGGCATGAGCCGGGCCGTGCTGCTGGTGTGCCTGGCGCTGTCCGGCTGGGCGTGCCCCGGCGCGCAGGCCCTGCAGGCCGCCCAGGGCGCCGCAGCCGTCGACGCCGCGGCCGGCGACATGGACGCCCTCAAGCCCTACCCCTTCTACGGGGTCGCCGGCTTCTACAAGCGGCTGCCGGCCCAGTACAACTTCGGGCTGGGCAAGCGGGCGGCGGACTACGAGGATGACGCCGTGGAGGAGGTACGTAGTGCACTCGCGAGTCCGTTTCCAGACAGTGTAGAGTACACACCTAGCTGCACGTATCGTCTTGGACGACACACTCATCTAGCCTGAAACCAAGAACACCCAATGGAAGTGAGGTGTTTGCAGTATCCACACTTCAAGTGTGGACTTCACTGCGTGCACCATGCCAAGAGACAGGGCCTCTGTGAGCCACTCTACACTCGCGGAGTCTGCAAACTCCACGCGGCCGAGTGCGGAGACTTCCCAGGAAGTGTGGGGTTGTCCAGTCTTGGTTTGACAGTGCGGGAAGCAGTTGCCGGCTGGCCGCGGGAAGCCAGCCCGGTGTCAGCGTGAACCTATACCCCCTTACCCAGGGTACTATTTCACTAGGAGGAAAGTACCTTGCCTAAGGGGAGGGTAATAATTCCCTAGGGATATCATACTCATGCAGGGTGGGGGGTAATATTTTCCTAGGGTAACTTTACCCCCTCTAGGGGGGTAATATTCCACTAGGGGAAAAATACCCTCTCTCTGGAGGGGGTAAAAATTCCCTAGGAAAAAAATACCCATCACAGGGGGGTTATCATACACTAGTAATTTCTTACCCTCTCTCCGGAGAGAGGTACATGCCCACTAGGGTTAAGTTACCCAGGGGATCATAATTTACTAGTGAATTCGTACTTCCCCACCAGAAAAACGAGTGTGAAGATGAAAAAAAAATCCACAAGCAATTCGAGAAAGCAAGTCATATACAAAATGAGTCAAAATAAATTCTTAACACAGAAAACAACTTGATTCACGAATTTTAATGTTTTCAGCACCATAGGTCATTTTTTTCTTAATTTTAAACTTTGCGAAATAAACGATGAGTTAGTCAGGTAGGTAGACGAATGCCCAAAACTCAGGAATGGGCGCCCGCTTTGGCTTATCCTTGGATTATGTAAAAATCCAATTTACTTTTTTTAAATTTGATTTTTCTGAAATTGCGTGTGGAACGTGTCTTTCAACACCTTAATGCTCGTTTTCTGGTGAGGGAGTACAAATGCCCTAGTAAATTATTAACCCAATTTTACCCTAGTGGCCATGTACCCTCTCAGGAGAGAGGGTAAGAAATTACTAGTGTATGATTACCCCCCTGTGATAGGTACTTTTTTCCTAGGGAATTTTTACCCCCTCCAGAGAGAGGGTATTTTTCCACTAGTGGATTATTACCCCCCCTAGAGGGGGTAAAGTTACCCTAGGAAAATATTACCCCCCACCCTGCATGAGTATGATATCCCTAGGGAATTATTACCCTCCCCTAGGGCAAGGTACTTTCCTCCTAGTGAAATAGTACCCTAGGTAAGGGGGTAAAGATACACGCTTACACCGGCCCTCGGCCCGGCCCAGCGTGTGGCAGCTGCCTTCGCGTGCGTTCCGCACGGCCCAGTCGGCGGCCCAGTCCCGGGGGACGTGTCATGGCTGGACGGAGGAACGATTTGGGCCACACACTGGCTGGCTAGACAGCCGGCCGGACGGCGGCTCAACGGGCGGCAGCGTTCCTGGGCACGCTTCCCGACGTCTGGCGCGCACGGAGGGTGCACTGTTTTCAACGACAATGCGCAGTCATAACACACTGTCAATCCAAGTGTGGAGGGAGGAGTTTCTTCACTTGGAGGTCTGCTGGAGTTCTCCACACTTGGACGTGTGGAGTTTGCAAACTTCAGGAATGAAGTAACTCTCACAGCCCGCATCTCTTAGCAAGGTGTGAACGTGGAGAAAAAAAGCTATCGGTTCAACGCAAGGACCATTTATCGCACGGTTTCCGTGATCGAGTTGCTCTCATTAATCACGAAGCTGAGTCGCGGCGCTCCGAGTGCTTCTGCATTAAGGGAAAAGGGTGTCTTCCGGGAGACGGAAAGGATTCAAGGGGAGGAGGGGGAAGGGGAAGGGGGAGGGGGACACCGGACACGCCCTCCCCGTTTCCATCACGGGAAGAGCGCATTTTCAGGCATTTTCACGCATCTTTCGGCCCGCCGCCGACGGAGAGGTTCGTCCTGCTCGGCGCCAGCGCAGGCTGGCAGTGATGTAGTCGGCTAAAAGGCAGCGCGGCCCTGGAAACCGGGACGGACCGACTAATCGACACACGAGCGGAAGAACCGCCCATCTTCAGCGCGACGAAACAAACCCGCGTACCGCGCGGCCGCCGTTTCAAACCCGCTTACCTCCCGCCGGCCGATTCAAAACCGCTTACCTCCACCGGCCCGTTCCAAACCCGCTTACCTCTCCCAGGCCGAGGCGGCGCGTACGCGGGTTTGAAACGGGCCGGCGGAGGTAAGCGGTTTTGAATCGGCCGGCGGGAGGTAAGCGGGTTTGAAACGGCGGCCGCGCGGTACGCGGGTTTGTTTCGTCGCGCTGAAGATAGGCGGTTCTTCCGCTCGCGTGTCGTAATGGGATAGGGTTTCCAATCATGCCTTGAAGCCGGTCTGCAGCGAAGAGGGCTGGCGGTGGATCACCTTTTTTCTTCTTTCAAGGATACAATTTTCAGGGTGTAAGTAACATCTTTCTTTAGTAAAATATAAAATATACACACTAGATTACTATGTAGGTTTTTCTGCGCGCCAATGCACGAAATTAAATACGCCGTGGCCCTCGCGTCCCCACAAGTCGCGGCGGGTTGCACCGGGCAGGGAGGGCTCGCATCACGGCACCAAACTTTGATTGCCTGGCTGCGCCGCGCCGGGCTCGGAGGCTCGGCCAAGGACTTGTCGGCACGCGGCGCCCGCTGGGGGCGCTTAAATCCAAATAAACTCCTCCCTCCCCCCCTCTCTCTCTCTCTCTCTCTCTCTCTCTCTCTCTCTCTCTCTCTCTCTCGAGGGGACCACTGATAGTTGACCGTGTGCAGCTCCTGCTTTCTAAAGCTTTTTAACTAGTTTCTTGCTAGTTTTTGGGACCCACCCAAAGTGAATTAGTGAATGTTTCCATCAATCATCAAGATGTGATAAGAATTTTTACTCCCCCTTTCGTCTGGAGACGAAAAATCTCCATTCACTACTGGACCACGCCGGGCCCCCGCCTGGCATAACCTCAACATCACCATGAGTTTCGCTCAAGTTGCTGCATCCTCACCAAACCACTACGGATACTCCGAAGAATTCATCGATCCAGAAGAAAACCACCACCCCCGAAGCCAAAACATCGATCAAGATCACCAAAACATCGAAAACGGCAGTGTCAACAATCCACCTACGAATGGCATTCCCTCTGAGAATGTAAACAACAACAGAACCACTCCGAATTCTTACTCACCTTCAAAGAAATTCGCCATCATTCTAGAAAACACTGACAATGTACTTCAAGACCAATGCCTTCGTGCAGTAGCAGACGTAATCTCAGGTAAAAACATCCATTATGCCACAAGACTTAGCGGAGGAAGAGTCTGCATGTACCTCACTGATGAAACGTACGTAAACAAAATGTGCACAGAAGGGGGAGTAACCATTGGAAACGTATACATTCCAATCAGGAAGTATGTCACTGAAGCCAAAAAGTTTGTCATTTCAAACTGTCCTCCAGAGATGGGAGACGATGAACTGAAGCAGCTACTACAACCATATGGAAAAATTGTGTCAGCCCCATCTAGACTTCGAGTCTCCACTGCCCATGAAGATCTACGTCACATCAAGTCTTGGCGAAGATCAATCTACATCATCACTTCAAGAGATGGCCCTGAAATGCCGAAGAAAATCCCCATTACAAACAGGATTGATGGAAGTAAGTCAATGCTGTACATTGAAACAGATGAAATTATCTGCAGTTTTTGTCTGGTCCCAGGTCACAATGTGGATAAATGTAAGAAGAAAGAACTTCATGAGAGAGAATTTCCCCTCTTCCAACAACCTGTTGCGGCTCGTTTATTCAACCACTCCACCCCCAGGACTACTCAAGAAAGAAGAAACATCCCTCGAGGCAGTACCAGCATTCTCAATCAAACCACTTTCATGCCGGTCTACAACAACCAGCAAGTGAGACAGCACACTGTTCAGCCAACTCAAGAAGGCCAGACAGGCCAGCAAGAAAACGCCCCCTCAGTTTTGAGCTCAACTCTCAACACAGCTTCACCCATCCCCAAACAACGTTCTTCAAATCAAGAAAACTCTCAACTTCAACATCAGTCATCGCTTCAAGAAACCAACCGTCACAAATCCTCTGACACAGCTATAGTTGCACCAGAAGAAACTTCAAGCCTCAACGCATCAGGAGACTCAGCTATGTTTTTTGATTTCTCATCTCCAATCTCTATAAGTGCTTCAAATAGAGACAGTCAAGCCAAGAGCCAGAAGAGGAGTGCTGGTTTTTCACCTGATAAACAAGAAGTCACAGGAAATAAATTTTCAAAAAATGATTCAGTGGAAAACAGCAGTGAAAGTGACATTTCAGATGTGGACTTTGATTCTTGTGACAGTTTAGAAATAAAACTCTCCAAGAAAGACAAGAAAGAAGAGAAGAAGACTATTCAAGATATAATGAAGAAAATGGATTTTGATAATCAAATTATAACCCAGCTTCAATTCTCCAGTTTCCTCATAAACTGCAGGGGAAAAGCTAACTCCAAGAAAATTGCTGATCAGTATCACATTGACAAGACTGCTCTGATAGAGCATCTTGATAAAGCTGAACTCCTGTGTAGTGATTTTAACCTGAAGAGAAGAATAGAGCGTGCAACTGCTGCTCTCAAAGTCCCTGACAAGAAGTAGTCTCATTTAAAAATGTTATATTTAAATATTTTTAAAGCATTCTATTTTATAGCATTTTGTTTTCCACTACAAGATTTTTACTTTTTCAAAAAATGCTTTCACATGCATTATTTTGTATAATGCTCTCCATTCTTTCACTCAACACCCAAGGACTTATAAGCCATCAAAAACAGCTGAGTCTTCAAGAATATTCAAGAACCAACAATAGTGATATCATCCTGCTGCAAGAAACCAACCTTCATCCTGGCACAATTTTGGCCTATCCGAGTAATTTCCATTATC